GCAACTGTCCAGTCTCTGCTCAAGGTTTGCTGCCAGCAGCCTCACCAAGCACTAAGGCTGGTGCTGCACATGCATTAGAGGAGCCAGAAGAGGTAGTTTTCATACTCAGAGTAGTCATCACATTCATACATCCCTCTATGGAGGCAAGGCAGTGACCTAAACAGATTTTCAGCTGTTTGTTGCTATCTGCTGCTGATGTTGCCACTAGAAATGCAAAAAGGCCACTCTGCATTTCCCCTGCTGAAACACAAACCTTTAACGAGTTTATTTTGAATTGTGTCTCAAAGACCAGGCAGAGATAGGTAGTAAGCTGCACAGCTTTAAACAACTTGTCAAAATCCTTCCAGGAAACAAAATAGCATACATTTTTTGAGGGGTTCCCATCTGTCTGAATTTCTAATTTGACTTGTGCAGCTCACACAGCTCAGATGGGATTCAGCTGAGAATACATAACCTGAAGCTGGGTTCCTGAAGTTTTCTTCATACCAGGATGGCACCTACATAAGAAAATTCTTCAGCTGCTGGGCTGCAGCTCAGGCCCCAGGTCTTCTCTCTGCCTTCTTCAGATAAGGAGGGTCACCCAGCCCCAGATCCCAGTGCCCCCAGACAGGGTGCCCCAAATGTGCCAGGCACAGCTGCAGGGAGCAGCTGGAACAGGGGTGCAGCACTGAGCTCTCCAGGCTGCCTCTGCCTCTGGCCACCTTAGCCCTCCACCATTCCTGCTGGTCCTGGTACCACGTTTTGTCAGCTGGTTTGGTTTAAAATCCCTTTGGAGGTTGCTTACAAAGGCTTTGGCTCATGAGAAGCACAAGGCTTACTTTGAAAGGGTGGTGTGCCCAGAGGCAGTGAATTCTACATTGCTTCAGTTGTGGAACTCCACCTTAGAGTTCCCATCCAGGGAAGGGAGCCAAAGATAGTTGCCTCTTCCAGAGAAAGATCTTCTGGAGTCTATATCACCCCCTGATGTTTTGAAATTTCCAGTGGACCACATCAGTCATGGTGAAGTGAGAAGCAGAATTTACATTCAACCTTTCACAGTACAGCATCATCTGTGTTGAGGATACCATCTTGTTTCAAAAATCCTACATCTGTTAGAATCCTTTAAGCTCCTACTATAACATCTAGAGACTAAAAAGAATTGTTTTTTTCCCGGTGTTTCAGTCAGTTTGCTCTGTGTGCCTGGCAGCATTCTGCAGAGTTTCACTGTTTCCCCAAGGCTGTCAGTCAGTTTTCCCTGTTGTTTGTGTGGGCTTTTCACACACAACACAGAAGAGGAAAACACACATAAAAATTCCAGGAAAATGTGATTGTAATCCACGTAAAACAGCCAGCAGGGGGATGTGCAGGACCAAGAACTCATCTGACTTGTTGAAAAAAGTGAATGCATTTCAAATTTCCTAGTTATCTGTAGAAAATATATTCTCTCTCTATAACAAAAGAGCACAAGTCATCAGCCTATCCCTGTCTATGGCAATTTCAAAATCAGCTGAAGAAACACAATTTCATCTCTACTGATTGAGTTATATATGTCTATGTAGGTTAAATGAGCATAAGAAGTCAGTGATCAACTTCTGCCTAACATTTTGATAAACACGAGCTGGGTAATGCATTGCTCTTTTCAGGATGGAAAAAAAGTATATAGTTATCAAGGCAGGAAAGCCAGAAGTTTTGGATTTTTTTCTCCCCAGAAAACAATAACTAGTTCTATTGTTTACAGATCTTTAGTTTTACTTCTGTTGGTTTAACCAGTTATGGGCTTCAATCCCCAAAGGTAAGATCTGCAACCCTCCAAGGATGGGCACCTTCTTTGAGCTTTTCTGTCGCAGGAGCTCAAGCTGCTCCTCTGGACACTGATCCCATCCAAGAGGCTGCACCTGAGAGCTGAGGCACAGGAAGCTCCATGGCCCTCAGTGGGAACAATTTCACAGCAATTCCCTTTGTGAGAGACAACAGCTCACTTGGAAAATTTAAAGAGGTTTATTAAACCTTAACAAAAAGACAACAAAGGACTACATTAGGAAAAAGCCGAAGCCCTGGGAACTGCCCCTCATGCATACCATACGGCCAGTTCATCTTCAAGATGGATACTCAGTCTTTTATACCCCTGGGGGTGGCATCAGCCAGCCCTGGCCCCTCCCAGAGTCTGTCAGTCAGCTCTTCTGTGCATTTATCAGTGGAAACTGCTTTGTACCTGGATTGGAGCTCAGGTGTAGCCATGCCTCACCCCCTAAGCACCCCCAAGCTTTTCCATTCCCACCTGCCCCATGCATGGGACACCTGTGCAGCCTTCCTTCACCTGTCCTAGACAGCCCTGGCTGTCTGATGGCAGCAATACAGGGGGGAAAGGGAACTGTGGGGAGAACAGAGGACATCTAAACTACAATAACATAACTATACATCAATAAAGCTTCTCCTAATACTCACACAATAGTTGGCCCTTAATTGCAAGAGCATTTAATCTCATTATCCATCTATCACACCTTGTTACACTCCTTGCTGCTAATATCTGTTACCTTTTGCAGAAGAGCTGCTTTAAGAAAAACCATCCCGGACATGTAGAGCTCCTATCTACATAGTATTTTTTATGACTTTCCTGTCTGTGAGCAGACTTGGTGGTTAAAATCAGCAGCTTTCTTCACACACCTACTC